TGTCTTCTGTCATCTTCTACTTCCCCTTTCAGTTTTTGCTCCTGTCTTCCCCATCTCACTCCTTTCACCCTGTGCCTCACCCTTCAGATAGTCCAGACTGTAAGCCACACCCCCAACACCTAACCAGCATCCTACCATTTACTCTACTCTCCAAAACTTCCTTCTCCAACTCCAGTTCTTCTAGTAATCCTCAGGAAAGAAATCACACTAGCAATTTAATTCTCAATAAATGTTAAAATCTGATAATGCTGAAAATGCTAGTCTTTTCAGTTATTTGCATTTTAGAGACAATCTAGGCAGAAAGTGTTAAGTGGAAGTTTTCCCAAAAAGTGCCTAAGGAATAAATTTTCAATGACAGATTTTCAGTTTAACTGAAAAAAAAAACAGTGAGAAATGGAGCTATGAATTTTCCAACTTTTCAAAGAGGCCTAGAAATCTGAGCTGCAACTCAGAGGGAAATAGTACCATTAACTCTGCTTTTATTTCTCTTGTTTGTTTAGTTAATTTTTCTTCCAGAGAGTGAGCAGCTTTGGGAAGTACACTGTTCTGTTATGTCCACACTCATTTTTTCCTTACATTTTTCCCATCTAAATCTACTCCTGGTTTGGTCAAATATCAGTAGATCTTCAACATGCCAGAAAGATATGTCCATCCATTAAACTTATGTCCAGGTTGGACTACACAGAAGTGGCCTAAATTAATAATTTTTGGTTTGTATTTTTGTCAGTAAAGGCATTTTATTTTCAAAAATTGGATTTAAAAATCCAAATATGGATGAGTATTTTACTCTTTATGTATTTAACATATTTCTTTAGATAATTAAAAGGTTATCCAGGTTGCTCAACTTTAGCATTATTACTATTTCAGGCTGGATAATGCTTTGGGAAGGTGAGGGAGGGGCCATCCTGTTCACTGTAGGATGCTTAGCATCATCGCTAGCCCCTGCCTTCTCGTTGCTAGCAGCACTCCTCCAAATTATGACAACCAAAAACATGTCTCCAGGCTTCATCAAATGCTCCCTGGGAGGTAAAACTGTCTTCATTTTAAAGCCACTAAATAAGAGTAAGATTACAAAAATTACTGTCCAACCCAAGGAAGGGAAGAAAAAGTTAACATCTCTTTGTAAAAGGATTGGAGTGTGGCACATAATTCAGAATTACCCCACTCTCTAGCTGCTATGCAACCTTATTCTTAGTCAAATAGGATATCAAACGCTTCAAGGAAAAAAATGATTCAGCAATGAATAGAGCTGAAAAGGAAAAAAAGAGAGAGAGAGAGACCAAGATGAGAGAACTAGAGGAAGTCCCAAACATGAACATAACCTAGAGGAGAGTTTTTTTATTTTCTATTCATAAAAGATACTCCTATTCATTATTAAGGAGCTCTAATAGAATAGTGGATAAGGCATTTGGCTGCTAACCAGGTCAGTGGTTCAAACCCACCAGCCACTCCACAGAAGATGAGGCGATCTACTTCCGTAAAGATTTAAAGCCTTGGAAACCCAATGGGGTCACTATGAGTTCTCTATGAGTTGTAATCTCCTCGATGGTAGTGAGGTTTCTTTTCCTTTTTCTTTTTTTTTTTTTTAAGGAGCTCTGGTGGTGCAATGCATAAGGCGTTTGACTGCTAACCAGAAAGTCAGCGGTTCAAACCCACCAGCCGCTCCGTGGGAGGAAGATGGGGTTACCTACTTCCGTAAAGATTTATTGCCTCACAAACCCAATAGGAGTTGATATGACTCAAACTTTTTTTTAATTATTATTATCAGTTTGTAATACTAGAAAAATAACATAATTGGAACAAATATGAACCCTGCCCTGATCAGCTGTAGAACAAAAATCTACTCAATTTACCAGAATAAATAGCTGTAACCCATATATTGAGTTCAAGCATCTTTTCAGTTTTATTGGATAATATATAATTATGACAAACTTGGAAAAATGAAATAAACACCTGCATCTTTTGCTTGTGGCTACTTGGGAAACAATAAAGACTCAACCAATATGAAAGTTCATTTCTCTTCCTATGTGAACTCATACTTGGCTACAGAGCTCCCCCCTCTTTCACCCCCTGCGCAGTGACTCTCCAGTTAGAATCTTAAGATAAACTATTTGGCAATAACATTCTGAAGCCCTACAGGTCTTTTGTCAGGCAAATAAAGGATCAAATTTTCCACACAGAACTTATAAAGGAAGGAATGTCAGATCAGGAAGCTTTTAAAAGAGATGCTTTACCTACACAGGAGTCTCTGGGTAGTACAAACAGTTAATGTGCTGGACTGCTAACAGAAAGGGGAGGTTCAGGTCTGCCTAGAGACACCTCAGAAGAAAGGCCTGGTGATCTACTTTCAAAATATCAGCTACTGAAAACCCGATGGAAAACAGTTCTACTAGGACATATATGAGGTTGCCATGTGTCAGGGTGGAATCAATTCTACAGCTACTGGCTGGTTGGATTTACAGGACGGCCAGGTTAATCTATATTCTGGTTCTCTTTCTTTCTCTTCAAATTCTGTCAGCATTGTAAATGAATCCATTTTATGCCCTTCCTCTTTTCTCTAGACTAGTGCTTCAAAGTATGGTACCTATATTAGCATTACTCGACGGCACATAACAACAACAACAACAGAAACTTGTTACCCAACCCATTGCCAACCCAATTACGGACCATAAACCAAACCAAACCAAACTCATTGCCGTGGAGTCAGATATGACTCATAGCGACCCCTCCTTGGGTTTCTGAGACAGTATCACTATGGAAGTAAACTGCCCAACCTTCCTTCTGAGGACTGGCTGGTCGGCTTGAACCACTAGCCTTCTAGTTAGCAGTCAAATGCCTTAGGCACTATACCACCAGAGCCCCCAGTGGATTCCAAATTATAGCAATCCTATAGGACAGAATAGAACTGCCTCATAAGGTTTTCAAGGCTGTGAATCTTTACAGAGGCAGACTGCTTATTTTTTTCCTTTGAAGTGGCTGGTGGGTTTGAAACACCTGTGTTAGCATTTGAGGGTTTAACCACTTTGCTACCAGGGCTCCCTAGGAACTTATTGCTGTTGTTGTTCTGTGCCATCGAGTCGGTTCTCACTCATTGCAACGAATGTACAACACAGCAAAAACCCTGCCTGATCCTGTGCCATCCTCACAAGTGTTGCCATGCTTGAGCCCATTGTTGCAGCCACTGTGCCAATCCATCTCCTTGAGTGTCTTCCCCTTTCTCGCTGACCCTCTACTTTACCAATCATAATATCCTTCTCCAGGGACTGGTGCCTTCTGATAACATGACCAAAATATGAGAGACAAGTGTGGCCATTCTCATCCCTAAGGAGCATTCTGGCTGTACTTATCCCAAGAAGTGCAAATTCCTTGACCCCTATCCCAGACCTACAGAATCAGAAAGTCTGGAGGAGGCAGAGCAATCTGTGCTGTAACAAACCATCCAGGTGATTTTGATGCAGTGGTTTGAGAACCACTGCTCTAGGCCAAAGTTACTTCTGTAATCACAGATAAATTACATGTTATAGAGGCAAGTATGTAGACTACTGCATCCCACTGCCTTTTATATAAAGTATCTCATTTGATCCTCAAAATTACTGAATGAGAGCTATTCTCCCATTTTGGCATGAGGAAATAAGCTTAAGAGTTAAGTGATACTCAAGGTCCAGAAGTTAATAACCGCAGATGCAAAGATTTTAGATTTTTGCAGCGCTTTCCACTACTGAAACAAAGACCTGCTATACTTTATTAACAAAAGCTCTTTGACAATTTGGAAAAAAAAAAAAATAGGAATGGGAAAATGTGGATAGTAGAGGTGGCTACGTTGTTGTTGTTGTTGTTATGTGCCATCGAGTCGGCCCGACTCATAGCGACCCCTCCTTGGGTTTCCGAGGCAGTATCACTACGGAAGTAGGATTGCCCAACCTTCCTTCCGAGGAGT